TGTTGCGAAAAAGCATTATAAGAGTAACCAGACATTGAAAGAGTGACAAAAGCATAGTTTTGCAAAATATAAACCGTTTTCTGGCACGCTAGAAGAAACAACCGCGGAATCGGAACGTGACCCAACGCACAAACCACCTTCTTCTGCGGGCTATTCGGATAACTGTAGATATATAATTGGTTGTGCACGGGCGCCCTTCCCTTGGCGAGCGACACAAGGACGTTTTCGTCGTATACCTTTGTTGCTGCTCCAGAAACGTATATGGTATATTACCAGCCTTCAAAATGTGAGCTTATTAAATACCCGAGTGTAACATGCTATAGAGCCAAATAGCTAGCGCCCTTAAGTATGCGATGTCTAACGCCTGTAGCGTTAGGCACATGCAGGATTATCGGGAACGTGATTTTTCAATTTCTGCTAACAGCATCAATAGTTTCATTAAAAAGTGTCAGGAATTATGCATTCCACTCTAAAAAAAGCCCGTGCCTCTACTTTCCCGCACAACACTGGGAGAGCCAATCAACTTACGGAGGCAGCTCAGCGAATGACAATGCCGAAACATATGTTTACACCAAAGAAGGCAGTTCGAGTTGTGACATTAAGCAACGCAAGAGTGACGTTTTGCATTGCTTAATGTCACAACTCAGACTGCGTTTTTTTTGGTCTAAACATATGTTTCGGCATTGTCACTCGCTGAGCAGCCTCCGTAAGATGTGGTGATTGGCTCTCCGAGTGTCGTGCGTGAAAGTAGACGCACAAACTTTTTTTAGTGTATTAGCTTCCATTACAAAAAAAAAAAAAAAGAACAGCTGATTTTAAGACATAACTGTTTTCCTCTAAGCGGCACGCCCATCATATTCAATTTTTCTTTCAAGCGCAATAAAGTATTTGCTTAATTGAAGCTTTGGTTTGGGCTAATTGGTTCATCAAGATCTAAAAAAATTAAAAAGGGCAAAAAAAAAAAAAAAAGAGTAAGGACGAGACACGCACAACACGGACTGGCACTATCTTTCAACTGATTTAATAAAGTCAGTCAAACCCAGCGCGCATCTGTGAAGTCTTGTCTATCACGCTAACCTTTCGTGATAAAAGCATCCCATACACAAGAGACTATAGCGCTGGGTTTGACAGGCTTCAATAAATCCGTTGAAAGTTAGCACCAGTTCGTGGTGTATGTCTCTTCTCCGTCATTTTTTTTTCATTTTTTGCTTTTAAGTTGTTTAGAGCAATAAAGTATTAAGTTAAGTAATTGTTAGCGCAGCCCACACAGTCTGTTGAAGGGTGTATAATCCATTTATTGAAATTCAAACGAACGAACACATTAAGAACTCACACTACTATCACAGTTAGCCCTTTTTCGTTGTACGAAGCATGGAATAGCTGTACCAAGCACTTTTCAACAAAAAATACAGTGAGATCAAGATTCTGCATTCCTAAGAATATTTATTACTGTTAAACACAGTACTTATTACTCTTTTTACTGAAATAAATGTGACCGAATGTAGGTAAGTTACGCAAGTCACACAAACTGTATTACAGTATTAACTAAAAAAAAAGAGATCAGGAGCTGCTGTATTCAGTTTCTTACTGGAAAATATCACAGCATCACTATCCCCTTACAAAAAAATTGAGCGAGGGAGTATCCAATTCGTATACAAAATTGTGGATTCATTTAATCGATTACTTATTGAACGTGTATCCAAATTTTTATCGCGTTTCTTGAGCTAATTGGCCGACCACTGGGTTTCGAAAAGCTGTACACTAAAGTGTCTAAAATTCAGATGGAATGCCTGTAGACTTTCTATCCAATGTTAAGACATCTTAGTGTATACCTTTTGTATTGAAACTGACGTGCCAATTAAATAAAGAAAGTCGTTAAAAATGGAGATACATTGTGGATAGCAAATACTGCTAGAATGTCTGTAGATCTTCTATTCAAAGTTCAGACACTTCAGTCTACAGCTTTTTGATCCCGAGTGGTCGGCCAATTAGCTCAAGAAACGCGATAAAAAGGTGGATACATTGTGAATAGAAAAGGTTTGCTAGAACTCCTGTAGACTTTTATTCTGGAAATTTCAGACATTTAATCCTATATAGTTTGTATCCAAAGCGGCCGGCCCCGGCTGATGTCGTCCTCCGTGTCCACCGCAGCCATCTTTAGGTTGTACTCCAGAAACATGTCATCTGGGAGAGCACAACGTAAAACCGCGCAGAGCATTGCACAGAAGGAGTCCTCGCTCACCCCCAACTCCTTGAGTCCTCGCGAGCGTCTAGGTTGTCATACTAACGTCTGAGGCCTTTAGGGTTCCGTGACGACGACACATGAGGAATATCCATTAGGCCCTCCATGTGGACTTGGATGAGTGCTTCCTGGCTTCCGAAAGTCTTCCGCAAGAGGTCCACGGCGTCGGAGCACCACTGTGTGGTGGGCTGTGAAGCCGGCAATGGCAGCTGTTCAATCGCCACTCAGCGCTGATCGCAGGTAGTTGAACCTTTCCGCCGGCGATAGGTCCGAGTTCAGATGGGTGGCGTTCTCGAACTGTTCCCCAGAAGGGCTGCCATTTCTTCCGTTGACGGTTGAATTTCAGAAGTTCAAATTTTGGGAGTTTGATACTCGACTTCGCTGCAGCGTTGCCGATCTGTTAGTGCTTCCAATCAGGTTACTCTCGTTGGCTGGATTGTCGCGTTCCGCACTGCATCTTAGCTGGCTTTTCATCTTCGTCATGAAGTGTCACGATCTTGTCCGCATATTCGAGGACGTGGGTGAATTCGAGGTCTCCGTCTTACTCCGAAATGAGTGGTTCGATGGTGGCGTCGGCGATGCTGCGTTCGCCCTGCACCAGGATCAGTCGTTCGATGAGTAGCTTTAGGTCCTCGCTGTTGGGTTGCGCAGACTGCGGCAACGCCTCAACGTCGTTCTCTAGCCGCGTCACTTGTGACCGAACCGCCTTGCGCTTTTTCTTGTGAACTTCCGTGCTGTCGTTCTAGCAGAAGGAAGAATCACTCACTTTTCTTTAGGCGTTCCAAGTGTTCACAGCGCTGTAATCTCGGGTTTCCAGCATCAAGTTTTCTGTTACAGCGGTTTTCTCTTGCTGGCAGATGAGGCGCTACTTGAGTACAACAACAACACTTTTTTTAACTCCGCTGCGAACAGCTTTCGTTCAATAGTCAAAATGTCGTGCGCAGAGACTCGCTTGCGTTCGCGTTCTGGCCGTCGTCTCATTGTCCTTCTTTTCCTCGCCTCCCTCTTCGAAAGAGAGGAGGACCCGAACCGCCAGAGGCAACGCGGGGGAAGATGCGCCCATTTGTTCCTCCAAACCGGTTCCAAACCGGGACGGTCACGCACGGCGCTGTAGAAGTCACCGTATGAAAGGACGCTCTTGTCTCCACGAGGGAGTTCGTCCCGAATCTGGGATTCTTCTAGTAAACGTTACAACACAGTGTTTTTTGTTGTTGATTTTTTTAGCTGCACGAAGTTTTTAAATAAAGGGGGAAAAGTAATATGAATGCGGTTTTCGATGCGTGTTTGTATGGCTTGACGGACACTAGGTGGGAATATAACCATCGCTATTATCGGACGAATCAACTAAAAACTAAACTTCGGTATTTAACTTTTTAATTACTATAATTAGGATATATGTTTTTATTGCAAACTTTGAGGCGGTCATATGCCAAGACTTTCATTTTGTGTAATTCGAATAACCAGCGTGTGTTCCGCGATATTCATCTCCGATTTTTGCACTTTTATCCGACTAATGTAGCGAAGGTTTCCAGGAGGTGAGCAGAAAAAAAAAAGTCAGATTATGTAGAAAATTCGGGAGCAGATATTTCGGAACACGGAAAAGACAAAAACCTAAAAATATAAAAAAAGAAAAAAATCTATAATGGCCAAAAGAATAGAATGATTGCACTTCCATAACAGCGTCCACCCTGGTCTTGTCCAAAGCAGGCTTTCCGGCCCCATCGTTTGGACGTTGCTCTTTACACAGTAGAGTGGTTCTATATGGTCTCAATGTAAGCTTGAATCTTGTTCATTCGGCTAAAAAGCACATAGTTCTGCCCATTGTGTATTTATAATTTCTTTGTTCATAGAAAGTGAAAAGAAGCTCACTTTTTTATGCATTACAGATATGTCAAGTTATTTAGCTTTATAGACCACTGATGTTAATAAAAAGTATATAAGAATGAGGAATAAAACATTAATCTAAATTTGACACATAAGGGAACAACAGCAGTGTATAGGCTTTTGTCTCAACAAAGGCTATACAAAGTCTCAACACTACCATTAATAGAAAGTATATAAAAAGTGGGTTATAAAAATTAATCCAATCTCAATACATATTTTAACAACTGGAGTGTATAGGCTTTCGTATCAACAATGGCTATACAAACTCTGAAGACTACCATTGATAAAAAGTATATAAACAGCGGGCGATAAAAATCAATTCAATTTTGATACACATTGTAACAACTGCAGTGTACAGACTTTTACCTCAACAAAGTCTATACAAAGTCTGAACAATACCATTGATAAAAAGTATATGCAAAGCGGGCGGTAATAATGAATCCAATCTCGATAAAAAGTTTAACCACTGCAGTGTATAGACCCGTGTCTGAAAAAGGTGTATACAGAATGTATACAAGTACGTTGTTAGAAAGTGGGTAGGGAAGAAAGTCGCAAGGATCGTTAAGAAGTCGCAAAGATTTCAATAGACTGGGCAACTTTTTTTTTGTAAGGGTCTGCGTCTTGCGCTAGCTTTCAGCAATCCGAACACATCTACTTGTGCCCATTACTGTATAATAAATACAAACATTGCAACATGTTATCACATACCACTGGGATCCGCGAAGAATGGCACAAGCATACTTTGATTTGTACGTCATCAGGCTGTTACATTAATCGTGCATTTGCAAAAAACTACTCTTTTTTATGCACTTGCGTTGTAAGATGAACGAGTACTTTCTTACGTTAAAGCCAGGGATATTCTTTCTCTGTGAAATAACACCTGCAGTGACTTTGCCGCAGTAAACATATGTACATTTACGTAACCTTCATGCTCTCGAGAATCTTTACGAGCTTGCTGTTAGCCCAGCAGCGGGGAAATTTTTCACCATTGCTTATCGCACTTTGCACGAGCCCCAACGTTTGCGCAAATGCCGAGGGGTATGTTATGTCCTTGACATAATACACCGTTAGGCAAAGGAGTAGAGCCTTCTCCAAAGTAGCGTCATTTAGCTCGATGATTTCGCCAGGCCCTCCACAAGAGACGATTTTTGTCGATATGCCCCAGAAGATCCTTGGGCCAGGAGATGCTGTGTCCTCAGCGGAGACGTCGCTCTGAAAAGGTGTTTCCTTTTTCAGAAAAACGCTACACATTATACATATATAACATTGTACAACACTTTCCTCGGACACCTATTTAGGTTTCACTGGTACGCCTGTACAATGGTATTGTAGTGCAGTTCCAAAAAAATTAACTTAAGCTGTCTGTGCCCTTGGCCTGTCCAGCTAGTTCCCAGTGCTAAGATGGTGAAAGCATCCAAAAACCAAGAAATTTGCAGAAAAAATTTACAGCTGCTTTATACAAATCAAGTGGAACCTTTTAAACTACATAAATAATAGCCAATGACAACAAATGTCTTTTGATTTGTTTGCACAAATATCTCGCTCACCAACCAGCTTACCAATGTTATGAGTGCACATTTAGCATGTCTTCCCCTAAGGTAATCGTCGATCTCGGCAAAGTCCATCTGCCGGTTACAGATAGTAGATACCAGTTGCTTAACCTTCGATAGTCTCTGCAAAAGATTAGCCACGTTGTCGCCAAACCTTAGCTCTGCCTCTAGAGTCATCTGCAATTAGAAAGTACATTGTGTGAATCAGTGCAACATCATTTGGAACAGCATGCACTATTATCCAAGATACTCACAATATCTTCATTAAGAAAGTAGCACGGCAGACAAGCCACAGGACTGGTCTTGCGTTCCCCGAGCGTGGCATGCAGCAGCAAAAACAGCCTTTCTTTGTTGAATGGACCAGCTGGACCAAGAGCTTTACTAAGTGCCTAAAGAAATAAATTATTATTAGTGTTCTTTCACCTTTCCAGAAAATAAGTGTCTCAAGACTCACAAGTGTCTTTCAACTACTTGCAGTTAAGGCTACTGCTTAGTGTGCTTCTATGCCGTGTGGCCAGGAAAAGAACGCCCGACATAAAGCTACAGATACATGGGCCGATGTAGTGTGTTGCACCACCAGTGTCGTAGAACATGCTGCTTTACGCCTACATTTTTTCACGGTGGGGAGTAAGCATATCGAGTGTAGCTACATGATGTGCACAGTTTTTAATACACAACTTGCTGTCAGCTCGTTTGATGCAGATTCAGCATCCAGTTCTGGTGGCACAACTGCATTCTGAACCACAGGAGTCTTAGCAGCCTCTCTAGCTGCCCACCTGTGAGCCCTGTGCCGTCTTGCCTCAGACAGTTTGGTCATGAACACACTCTGAAAATTTTATAAAAGGAAATTGCACAAATCACCGTAATAATCATTTAACAGAGTGTGAGTTGGCTGGCTTAAATAGCAAGATCCATTGAATGAACACTTTAAGGAAGAGTATATTGAATGAAACAACAATTTATAATTCAGGACTTAAATCTATAGACCATTTTAAGGAAATGTTTGATTCCTGAATTACTTCAATGTAGACTATTTTTTTGCACAATATTATTTGTTTTGTGGAACCAGCTGAACTTAACAGAAATATAGAGCGATTGGGTGTCTTTTCTCCTATCTCTATATTTCTGTAAGTTCCCAGCTGGTTAAACAAAACTAAATATGTACGGCCAACTAGCTCAGGTGATCCCCTCGCAAATATATACCTGACTAGTGGAGAACATTGAAAGGTATCATAAAAGGGGTGTCCATAAAATGGTGGAACAGGGAAAGGGGAAGCTTGTGACTCTTGCTTACATCGTGGTATGTGAATCGAGCATACCAGAATTCGTCCCACAGAATGTCACGGGCGTCACGAGTGCCAATCACTTGGCTGTGATTTGGGGCTCCTCTTCCAAGCAGACAGGAAGGTAGGCGTTGAACGCAACGCTGCTTCATTAGGGGCAGGGTGCATGACGTCATATGGGGCAAAACCGCCATATGCTGAAAAAACTGCCCCGACCCATTGCGCTAAAGTTACAAGCTTTTCTTTTTTTTATTGCGTGCCTGATGCTATTATTTCAGGGTCCCTTAACACCTTTGAATATTTTTCACTTGGAAACTGCTATTGAAGTTACCTTCGGTGACTTAGTTCGCCCTTTCTTGTCTTTTCGGGCCTCCTCCCAGAGCATGTTTGGGTAAGTTGATGCGAGTGACTCTCCTAATGCAAAGTACTTCCATCGCCGCATGGCACAATTCCCATCTTGAATTAGTTTATTCTCGCTGAAAAATAATTGAGACAGAAGCCTTATTAGCATAACACTCTACCATGTTCTTCTGGCCAGGAGCAATACGATTCTGCCATCTTCTTGGTGAGGACCAACAGAAATAGAAGATATAGGAAAGGGCTGTGTTCAATATCTAAACACAATGAATTGGCTTTAAGAGATGTCCAAGATGACTGGATTGATTTTGACCTCCTGGGGACAATTATTTGAACTTTAACACACAGGGATCTTTGAGCTTTGCTGCCATCAGTATAGAATACACTGTACATCCCCTCTGAATGTTGCCCATGCAAACATCGAGGCAAAGAAAGAAAGCTAGCACAAAACAAATGCTTGAAATTCCACTGCTATAAAGGGCATGTGAAGCTGTACAGTAAAATAAACAAGCCCTCTTTGAAATAAGTAAAGAGTCTTTTGCAATAGAACTCATGAAGTGGAATAAATAAGAAGCATAGAACAGAACAAGCTGAGCCATATTTTTGGTATATTCCGTAAAATACTGAGCAAGTGCCCACTCAAAATTTGAAGATAATCACGAAAAAAAGGGGAAGGGCACATGTGAAGTCATCAATTTTATATATATATGTACTGTGCATATTTTTTTTCATGTGTAATATTTTGGGGGTAGGCACTTAGTGCGGATGCACGGTATTCTACGGTTGGTAAGAGCAGAGCATCCTTATATGGTGAGCTGTACCGCATTCTGCCTTACTGTTCATTACCAGTCTTCGTAAACAGCGCCACTTCTAAAAATAAATTTATCTTCCAAACTGGCAGATCTGCTTGAATATATGAACAGCCCTTACTATTTTTTTAATAAGGATATTATCGTGTTTAATTTTAATACTTACTTAAGAAAATGAATGAGCTCGTGGCGGAGCTGCTTGGAGCATTGACGGTGGTCTTTTTCGCTGATATCCAATCCTTTCAGTAATGGCTGAACCACTGATGAGAACTGGGGCAGCAGATTATCAGAAGACCAGTGCATACTTGGAAGAGTTCTCTATATGAAGAAACAAAATATGAAAGTCCTAATTGTCAATTTATGTACAATAAAAATATAAGATTTAAAAAAGAACAGCAATTCACCAGTACCTTATTGTGCGTTTCCAAAAAACCGAAGTGACTTAAGACAGACGGTAATGATGCAAATTTATTATAAAACCATGTAGAAATGTGATAAAGAGACATGTCACAACAGGAGGACCAGTACCAACTAACAGCTTCACACAATCAGGTATTCTCTGACAACAGCCTGCTTTTAAAACTTGCCTGCATAAAACTATACTGCATTTTTCTTTATCTTCAAGAAACAAATTAGGGACCTACAATAGTGCATTCGCGAGAACAACAAGCATAATGTGATTGCATGTGAAAGCATTCTTCGCAGCTCATCACACAATAATACCGCTATGTACAAGTAATTGCCCCTGAATACACACCCTAAGTTCTCTTTTGTGAACTGGTAATGGAGGGGTACCTTTTCTTACTAAACCATCGGTAAGTAGGAAGACCAGTTACCACACTGCTTCTATGTGGGAGCAAGATGAAATACATTGAGGAATGTGATAAACGCTTCCTTCTTTGGAGTACCAAAAAACAGGCCATGGAAGAAGCAAACTTTCGGGTGTAAATATGGTCTCATGAAGAGTATCACTTCCAACAAAAATATTTGCCTTTTCCATATAGGAAGTTGTGGTCTGGAGCTGGCACTTCAAGAAGACCTGACCTTCAAACGAAACTATGTCGCGTATCTTGCAAAAGCAGGGTGCTTCACTGGCAGCTCCAATGACAACAACATCGTCTACCCTAAGTAACACATTTTTAACAAGGACCTTTGGCATAGCAAGAGCAGTCTTTCCTATGCCACATTCAGGCAGTCCAGCACTACAAAAGCTTTGAGTAAGAGTGTAAGGCACACCAGCAATCGAAGGTAGCTTTGTAGTCGCATGTCCAGTTTTGGGACTCCCATCAGAATTCCAAAGAGCGTGAGACATGTTAGTTTGGAGAAATTCACTGACCGAAAATGGTATGTTCTTAAAATTAAACATCTTTTTCGATTTTGGAACAGCATTTTTGGCCTCCATACGCATGGTCCAGTGATGCCGCCCCGGTCCATGAGTTTTTATCTGTTCAACCACGTGAAGCACATGTGGAGCTTAGGAAAGACTGCACTTTTCCCATAACACAACAAATGTTTCGTGGTGGTTGGCAACCAATTCTTCAAGGTCTCCAACTGCCTCTGCAGTCAAAACTGGAGACAAAACCAACTGTGTAATCTGGGCTAACCGAACGAGACTTTTTAGAAGTGGAGAATTTTCAGGGAGGTAGCCGTCAAGGATCAAAGGGATGTGAAGGATCAACACAAGGGATGCACTCGCTGAAGTAACCACTTTTAAATCAGATTCGAACAGTCTTGGCTTGTCACTTCTACTGACTGCACGATGAAACTTAAAATTGGAGATTGCGTCGTTCAATTCCTTGAGTGAAAACCAATGCCTTTCCCTCACTGCAATGTTAAGAAAAAGAGAAATTTCTTTCGGTATAATACCTTCCAGCAGTATGTGCATCGGATCATACAAAATGTCTTTGGTCAAGAGAAAAAAAGGAAACAAGGTCAGAACGGACTCTCCATTGATGCCAAATTCCTTTGAAAGCTGCTTTCGCTCTGCAACACAAGTACTTTCTTTAAGCCTCTGCACCTGTGCCTTGACTTCACTCTCCGACCTAAGAACACATTGTCCATGGTGAGTGTACTGTACATAGTCTGCTGTTGGTACAAGACAAGTACGGCATGAGCGGAACACTGTTGGGCTAAACGATTCTTTAAAACCTGCCAAAGAGTGAGTAGCAAGAGCGTCTCCTGTGAAGGTCATTACAGCACCAAAAAACCTTTCTGGTCCTTTGTCTGTGACAAAAACTAACCCTTCATCGGCCAGCGCTCTCAACACTTCTATAAAATCTTCAAGAAACTTCAGCCGTGCATCATACTTCTTCAAATTTGCTGTGTGACCAGTTCCCAACAAGAAGATATTACTCAGCTTGGAGCGTTCATGAGGAGGCAAGTTCAACAGTGTCACATAAAAAATACCAAGTTTACCTAGGTTACCTCTCTTTGTGCCGATAGGGTTTGCAAGTTCAATATCATCGTAGTATAAATTCAGTAAGATGATATTTTTCTGATGCTTTTCAAAAATGGGATGTGAATGAAACCTCGCTCCATCCCAAAAATCCCCTAAGACAGAATCATTTTGAGGTCTGCATGGATTTCTCGCATAGGCAACAATCTCTGGATGACTCAGAAGGTTTTGAAGAAGATCTGATAGCTTTATAATACAGGCTTTTGCATTCCCTAAGAGTTTCACTTGAGTAGGAGGCACAAAGACACCTGTATTTTGATAGTGCCGCTTTCGAAGGCGGTCAGTTTTTATGTGTTCGGTGTTAATAGGCACTCCAGCTTTCGCGAACATTTCATGAACTCTCTCAACAACAACGTCGATGACTGTCTTGTGACACCTGTGCTGTCCTTCCAGGCACCTGCACAGACTTGACAGCCTATCAGCTATAGTAGAACTTTGTGTGGCATCCTGCCCTTCAGGACAACTAAGTTCTAAAAGATTTCCATCATCCATTTTGTAGCTACAGTTAGCACTCGAGAAAGCTGAAGTTTTCTTTTTGCATATCTTGAAATGTTCTTTGTAATGCTTCAAAAATGCAAATGTGCAGCTGCACTTACTACACACAAAGACACTACTAGTGCCACGATGAAAAGTCGTCATGTGTCTGGCAAATGAAGTGTACGCTTCACAAAAAAAGTTATATTGAGAGCATACATGCTGTCCTTCCAAGCTGGCTGGCGTCCTGGTCCCGTCTGCAGTGTCACTTCGGCTCTGAGCGGCTTCCATGTTCGCAGTGTCACTTGGGCTCAGGGTGACTTCCATGTTATCGTCCCCGTCGGTTGTTTCCACTGTATGATCTTCAGCATTGTTGACAGAGGCACAAAACAAAAACAGCAGTGTTAAACATGTCAGCAAACTGGCCAAGCCTGAGACCAAGGGCTCTTTAAGTATATAACTCAAGTATTATAACTGTTCTAATTGCACTCATTATGAACCTATCACCTGTGTATTGCGAGTTCCAGTGGCCTTCACTTGAATGGAAAGCATGTTATTTACACTAACTGCCTTGTTGCTTTCTTCAAAATGTACTCTGCACAAAGAGTTGCTTTTTTAGATCTTGGTTTAGGGCAACCATACATGACTGATAAATGACTGTAGCATACATACATGACAGTGGGAATAATAATATTTGAGACATGTCGGAGTTTTGATGTCGTTACGAACTTCTGTAAAAAATATGTGCTTATAGCTATAAAAAGGCGGCTTTTTTAAAATAACCTTTCAGACGTAACTCATGCAGTGTTGAATGTTCCATGCCAGTGCAATTAATGCAGGGGTACAGGCAAGCTGGATAAGAATAAACGATAAATTATCCCCGGAGAAGGGGAACGAGGGGACAAAGGACAAATGCAAAATCTCCAACAGCAGCTAGGTGACTGGTGTGCAGCTGAAGAAATCCGCCTGGTCCTGGTTTCAAACCAGGGACCTCTCCATTTCCAGTGGAGCCCTAAGACGTCAGTAGAGCAAACGGGTTTCAACAACTCCCACCAGCATTACGACCGGCAAGTGTGAGGCCTACATTAAGGTTAAGATGTTGATGCAATTAATACAGGGGTGCAGGCAAGCTGGATAATAATACACAAATGTTTCGAGCCTTCTCGGTTCATGACTTCTTTGTGCAGGAACATATAAATTTATTAACTAGCTCATCTTAACATTTTAGTCCCCCTTTATATTTACAACTATAATTGCAAGATGAAGGCCCTTTACTGACTGTCCTGAAAGCCTGTTAAGAGAGGTTCCAATTGCTATCCCTAGGAGTGTTCATCTTTTTTATGCTTAACTAATGTGTGCACTGTGCCAATGCTGTTTATGAATTTATGTACATACATGATTTCGTTGTTCAACAGCTGAAGTTAACAGTACAATCAAGGGAATCCTGCCCGTGTCATCAAGGCGACAGTTGTTGCCTTAATGACTTTTTAACCACGTGAACAGGAAGTTGATTCAGTTATTGCAAAACAACTGTGTTTACCACAACATATGCATGTTGGTACTCACCAAGCAGAATTTCAGCAGCAGTGCAGGTGCTGTTGTTCATGACCTCAGAGGTACTGATGATGGCACCTTGCGAAGTAGACCCTTGCATGTTGTCAGACAGATCGCATGACTCGCCTTCAAATATACCTGCAAACAGAGCAAATAATCAAGCTGCATGAAGTCAGAAATGTCATTGTTGATGTCGTATAGTCATAAATACTGTCAATGTCTACAATTATGCTGTCCTCACGTGGTCTTTTTATCTATATGGCAGCAAAAATGACACTTTCATAACTTCAATTTATGGAACTGGTATGAATCTGGCATCACACGAGAACATCAAATGTTTTTACTGGCAGTATTAGCTTCCTGGTCAGCAGCTGGCATTAAACATTTGTTTAAATTTCCAAGCCCACAGTATTATCTAAAAGGCACGAATGAATGGGTGCTCTAGCACCATCTTTGTTTCCCTTGGGCAGAAAGAGCTGTAGAAATAAACATGGCTGTAAATTGTCTAAGGTTATACAAAGTCACTTGTGGAATGTTTTCTCCACTGTTAGTTTAAAAAGCTGTGCAACAAGCTTGACATTGACGGCCGAGTGTAAAATCATCACAATACTGCCCCATCAGAAAAAAAAAATGATGCAACCCAGAAGGAAAAAAACAAGACGTGAGGACTCCTAAATAACTTAACTTTTTTTTTTTCTTTTTTTTTTTTGGGGGGGGGGGGGGGGGGGCGGGGGGGGGGTGCAACAAGCACATAGTATCTGTATGTGCTGGGTGCCTATGTTTTTTTTTGTTGTAATGTCATTTTATGCAGTACTCGATGCCGACAGCACGAACTCACAGAGGATATAATATTAATAATAATTTTTCTTTCCACAGTTGGGTTACTCACTCGGCAGCGTGCAAGGCTAGACAGAAAGGTTGAGACTCGTACGCAGATGCGCCCTGTTTGCCCGCCGCCAAATGGGGGAAAAAAAAGAAGAAAAAAGAAAGACAATAACAGGAAATGGTGGGTGAACAAGACAGTCAAACATAAAAATACGCGTAAAAAACGGGTAGCAATCCTTTGGGCCGCCCGCCGCCGCCCCCCCCCCCCCCCCCCCCCCCCCCCCCCCATGCTGCTCTACCAGGCACCCGGCGCGGGGAGCCCACAAAAATATCCACGCCCGCGGCAGCAAGCGGCAATCGACTGTTCATACTAAGATGACACGCACATCGGGGTCCATATCACATGAGCCAGTGACATTTTAGCGAACAGCGACATTTGAGCGAATCGACGTTTTAGCGAATAACGGCGGGCGCGCGTTAACCCCATCCGCCGTGCTGCGCTTTACGCCGCTTCGCCGGCGAGTCTGCGGCGGCTTATTACAAAAATGTGAACCCATTTGGCCCACCCGAAAACGCCGCTTCGTGGAGTACGACTGTTCGCTAAAGTGTCATTCGGTGAAACGTGGGCGTTCGCTAAAACGTCATTCGATCAAGTGAGTGCCTCCCCCTACGTGAAAACTAAAACTAAAGTGCAATAACGGCATACGTCTCGGTAGCGTCACACGGAACAACGCAACGGAAGTGCATACCGAAGCGGTCGGGTACTCAACGGTGTTCCGAACACGCGTGCCCCTCGACTGACACACGCAGAAAAACATGAAATAAAAGCGGCACTTACTAATCCGTGCGTG